GGGGGGGGGGGGGGGAGCCCAAATAATAAACACAGCTAAAGACACAATTTTAACTCCAGTTTCTTCTCTTCTGAGTTCACACAGGGCTACACTAGAGAAAAAGAAATGAGACAGGAAAACATCAAGGCTTTAACAGACTGAGAGCAAAAAAATCCGCACGTGGGAAAGAAAACATAATTAACAAACACGTGAAAAAAATGTTCATCTTTGCTAGAAATTTTTTAAAAAATTGCAGCATCTTTGAGTTATGAATTGACATGTACTAAAGATTAAAATGAATACCCAGCACAGCCGAGATTATTTAGGGAAATTGGTTTTCTTATTTATTGCTGTTTAAATTGTAAATTAGCACCGAGCCATTTAGACAGCTACATGGCAATGTGTGCAAGAGACAAAAAGATGCTCATACCATTTGATCTTGTAAGTCCTTCTGTGCGAGAAGCAAAAATCTATTTGTAAGGGACTATTCATTGCAATATTTTCTATAATAGCTCTCAAACCAAAAATCTTAGAGTTTACTCTATTTATGGTACATCAAATCAATGAAATGCGATTCAGTCATTAAACAAAAAAAAAAAAAGAATTTTTTGTTGAAATACTTAAAACACAAAATACAGAAACGAATGGTATTGATACTGTGCATGCAGTGACGTAGTAACATGAAACATTACAAATATGGAGCTGCTTGGTGTTTTAAATTGATGGGATCACGGACCTGTCATTCTCATTAATTTTAAAAATCTAAGATATAAATAGATTGGAGAACAGGAAGTTCCTTCCACATTTTGTCCTTAAGAACTTATTATGCCTGCCATGTCTTAGATACTGGGTACTGTTCTGGAGAGGAGGGGCCACGGGCTGGGGGCTCCCCAGAACTGGAGTTCATAGCCCACTTCATTCTTATCTGCTGTCTGACTTTGAGCAAGTTTCTTCCCTAGACCTCTGTTTCCTCGTCTGGAGAATCAAATGAGGGTCATATTAATTAATGCCTGTGTCTGCTGTGAGGATCAAGTGAGATAACCCATATACCCATGCAGTACAGTGTGGTACATACGTAGCATCCTTCAACAAAAGTTACCTTACTCCTCCCCGCTCACCCCACGCATGCTCAAGTCCACCCTGCACACCCACTGCCAGACTATTAACCTGCCTTAAATCCATCTACACTCAGTCCTCCTTTGCCCCGTCTCCCTACAGCTGCTGCACACATCAAGCCATCAGGCTATCTGTGCAGATTTCTGGTTTCACCTGCCCTGCCCTGTCTTCTTCCCACTGTCTCTAATCTGCTCACTCTGAGGTTCATCCAAGAGTCTTGCTATTCCATGGATTTCCCACCCTCAGTCTTTCTGTTACTTCTGTCCTTCTGCCTACAGTGATAACCCCCTTCATTCTTCTGCTTGCACTTTTACTCCTCAAAGGCTCCCTTTACCATCCCCTTCATGAAGTCTCCTGCAGCAACCCCAGCCCTCTCATCTCTGCGATTCTGCAGTTTTTCACCTATTGATTATTTTGTGCAGTTTCGTGCTTTAGCAGATATCCTCTCATATTGTTTAATTGTACACATTTACTAATTGTACTCATTTTTGTCAGAGATTGACTGGCATGCATTCTTTTACCATGCCAACACTTGGCCTTATTGTCTTCAAAAATACTTTTTCACATTATTGTGTTTATGTTCTATTACTGGGAAGATTTCCTCTAGAAAGTCATAGACAAACAACAAGGACAGAATAACATTTAATCAATTAAGTTAACACATAAAACCTTTCTGATTTCTCAACTAATCATTACTTGAAAACAACCTTATGCCACACTTCTCTCTCAATTAGATTGTGGCTCCATGAAGTCCTAGATTTTATTCCAAACTTCTTGTCATGCTATACCAAGCCACTCCTGTCCATCCAAATACCTACAGCTTCACATCCTATCACTTCTCCATGGAGAGAAACAGCTGGTCATATCTAGCTTCTCACTGTTTTCTTCCCACATGCAAAAGCATGTGGGAAGTCTTCTGCCCAGAATATCTTTAGCTTCCTACTCCTCCTTGCAATTTGTTTAGGTCCAACTCACCTAAAGCTCAGGAAGCCTGGCTTATCATGCAGTGTATATACTTCTTCTGTATCTCCAATCAGAGTAATTGTAATTCTTTTACCTTCATGTGTATTCTGCCACTAACTGCCTGAGCGCACTTCCCAGGACAAGTACTGGTGAAATTCATCCTTCTAGCAGCCAAATCGAACATAGTGCCTGGAACACAATGAGGTCTAAAGACTTCTTCCTTGACTAAAAAAGCCTACGGATAAGTATGATTTTTGGTAATAAAATGGCTACTTTGTGACTCCTATTTCATTCCTTATTTCATAACAGCTCTCAGCTTACAAAAACAAAGCACATACTACAGTTTTACTTGACTTATGATTAATAACCTCTGGCTTATTTGGTAACTCTTGTGTTTAACAAATGAATTTTATTATAATTCTGTATACTTTCTTCCTATTTCTTTCCCCTGTGTCTAAGAATGAGATCACTAAGCATCACTAAGATCACTTAGTGATGCTGAGATCACTAAGCATCATGCTTAGATTAGTGATGCTTAGATCACTAAGCATCACTAAGAATGAGATCTCTATTTCTTTAACAATTTTTAGCTAATTTTAAGATATTACCCTTTTTCTAAATATTGCACGTGTTAAGAATCTTGAGTCAATGAGGCCTTTCCCTGAACTTAATATGACACAACAAACACCGGTGGAAACCCCAGAATTCTCTAGCTCCTTTATTCTGGGCAATTTTTCCCTCCAGTGCTTTCCATAACCTCATATCCTATTTATGCTTTCTTTTTTGTTTGTTCACTCTGTCTCCTCCCATTGTCACCCATGATCCAGGAGGGCAGGGAGTTCACTTTGCTTACTGCTAGAAAAATGCCAATTTAATGAATTAGACATTCTAATGTCTTGGTTGAAAGAAGTTCAGTAGTGCTTAATTTAATGGGCAATATAAATATCCTATATAAATGTAACATATCCCTTTTAGCACTGAGTCATTTTCTCTTAATAAAATTATTTATTTTTATTTTTAATTTCTTTAATTTTTAAATTAAAAAATTTTTTTGGCCACGCTGCATGGCTTGTGGGATCTTAGTTCCCCAACCAGGGATCGAATCTGGGCCCTGGCAGTGAGAGCACTGAGTCTTAACCACTGGACCGCCAGGGAATTCCCTAAATAAAAATTTTTTTTAAATTTATTTATTTATTTTTGGCTGCACTGGGTCTTCGTTGCTGCGTGAGCTTTCTCTAGTTGCGGTGAGCCGGGGCTACCCTTCATTGCGGGGCACAGGCTTCTCATTGCGGTGGCTTCTCTTGTTGCGGAGCACAGGCTCTAGGCGCACGGGCTTCAGTAGTTGTGGCACACGGGCTCCAGGAGTTATGGCGCACGGGCTCTAGAGCGCAGGCTCAGTAGTTGTGGCGCATGGGCTTAGTTGCTCTGTGGCATGTGGAATATTCCTGGACCAGGGCTCGAACCCGTGTCCCCTGCATTGGCAGGTGGATTCTTAACCACTGCACCACCAGGGAAGCCCGAAAATTATTTTTAATGACACTCTTTCTAAAATGTCTTGCATACTTCTATTCTATGAACACTATGTAAAGATTTTAAATGATTACCTATGAATGTGAATTATTGGAATTTGTGTTTGTCTAGATCATACCTCCAGGGCTTATTGATGACAAAAGGTCTGTTTAACCTTTCCATTCCATCATGAGGATGGTCTTAAGGATAGCTAATTTCATCTCCACTTACAGATTATAAATTATAAAACTTATTTTCCGGTTGGTGCTTATGTACTGGAAGGAAGAGGGTGCCCGGTTACTGGTTAATCAGGGGTTTCAAGTGACACACAGCTGAACAAGTTTGCCAAGGATTTTATATGTCGACCACTTTCAGATTTTATTTGAAATAAAATTCAAAAACAATACTGAGAAACTTTGCTTTGCAAGACAGTGACATGCTCCAGGCAATTGTTTTAAAGGTTCAGCATTCACTCTACATCGGGGATTTTTAAGTAGATATTTTGCTAGAGACTACAAAGTTAAATGTATAAAGCTTAACTCTGAATGGGATTAAATACTACCTGACTCTTTTGCGTT